GTATTTGTGCTTGGGGCTGCCCTGACCCAGGACCTTGCACTTGGCCTTGCTGGACTCCATGAGGTTTGCATGGGCCCACCTCTAAAGTCTGTCATGGTCCCTCTGGATGGCATCCCTGCCCTCCAGGGAATAATCATTATTGTTGGGATTAAAAAGTTAGAAGTTATTTAGAAATGTATAAAATTAACTGATGATGCTGTGCCAGAGCTTTTCTACTTTGCAAGGACAAAAGAAGTATTGCTATGGATTTTCATCCTAGGACTCATAATTGCTGAAAAGGTTCAAGTAACCTGCAACATAATTTACTAGTAATAGGGTTCAGAGTCATATGAACTTTTCATTATATAAGAAAGAGATTACTTCCACTCTGATTTTTATTGTCAAAGGTGACATTTAGCAGCAAAAAAACAAAGGTAAACAAATAGGCTACAATGGAAAATGGCTTTTCAAAAAGTGACTTTGAACTATGTAGCTCTAAGTTCACTAAATATTAGTTCCATTATAAGACATGGATGGCTTTTCCTCAAAGAAGCAATTCTTTACTTATGATTAGAGTACCTCAGATATAGTAGTGTTACATTTGTAAATATTTGGGACCCTTCTGTTTTTGGAGAAAGTCACAAATATATATATAAAAGTTTAAAATTATCGTAGTTGAGTCTTGCATTTCAGAGACCACAAAATCTAGAGCCTAACTTTTGAAATGCTTTTCTTGATTGAAATTGGTATATTTCTGCAGAGGATTTTTTGTTATTAGGAGAATGTCATGATCTTTAGTAGTTCATAGTTCTTGGGTGGAATGTAGTTGACTGAATCAATGAACTACCTCTAGCTGTATATACGTTGTCATATCACACACCATTAGTATAGTCATGTTTTTTGTGTAAAGGAACTGGAAAAGCAGTATGGATGACAGTCAATTAAAACTTGTTTCCCTTATGTTTATTTTGGCCTTGGACATACAGTATCATGCATTCACTTTGATATGTAAACAGCAGCATACAGGTTTCATGTAGAGGAAGAAGGAAACTTTTGAATTGCTAATGTTGATGGCTAAATTGAGGTTGCCACGTCTGTGTTGTAACAGATGACAGAACTGGGCTCACTGTGATATTCTAACAGTTTGTGTAGTTAATATAAATAATTAGTGTAAAGAAGCCAGATTTTCTTAATTTAGTCTGCAGTTAAAAACATTATCACATAGTCAATGAAAAAAAAAGCTGCCTTTTATTTCAAAGTTTCTTTGATAATTATTAACTATAAATTTGTTTACTTTTTGTCCATTAAATTATTTATTTTGAAGTTTGTGAAATTTAATTTTTATGTAAAAAGATTAAAAAAAAAAAAAAAATCTTTTGGCTCAGTCTTCGCGTTTGAGTACTTCCTAAACTTAGACAAGTGTTGTCATCTTATTACACAAAACTGCAAGTTAAAATCCAATCCTACACTGTCTTGCATATTTTTTTATATCTCATGTAATTTTTTTGGTTTTTAATTAGAGTTTTAATGTCAATCCTTTCGTGTTCACTTAAGGAACTGGAAAAACAGATAGGAGAATTTTCATTAGTTGACTACATTAAAAGTAAATACTATAAATTTGTGGTTTATATGTACAGAATTGTCAGATATCTGTGTACTTCAAGGTAGAAGTATTTAATCTGAATTTTGTAATAAATAGCCAATACTATTGAAATTTTGTGACCAAGATTAATATTATGAATAATATAGATATACTTCTGTGTGTACCTGCTTACAAGTGTGTTACAAGCTCTAGTAATTATCATGTATGTGAGTATATGAGTTGATAATTTTAGCTGTTTGTTACTGTGAAGTTTATCAATGCTTTCTGAAAGAATTTTAGTATAAGTTTGCTTCGGTGGGAAGTAAGTTGTTTCCAAATCACTTCTAGGCACTGGAGACTTTAAAAATGTTTGAAAAAAAGGATAGCAGAGTGAAGAGTGCAGCTGCAACAAACCTTTCATTCCTTTATTATTTGGTAAGTGTTTGCTTCAGCAAAACCAGTTAAGAACTGCAGTTTATGTAGCAACTTCTGTATCTTTGTAGCAGTTTTTGTGTCTGTCTAAATAATCTCTGTAAACAGTGAGAAACTGCATGTTAGAGGAGTTTTTCTGGAACGTGCATTCTTGGCTGTAGTTGGTTTGAAGCGTGTCCTTTGTATCCTGTTGCTGGGACAAAGAGGGAGATTGAGCCCCAGGCCACTGAAGTGTGCCTGCAGTGTGATTTATGCAGAAGCTTGGTAGCTGCATTGAAAACTCATGTCCTGAAGACCCTAGCTGAACTTCAGGAACATGTGAAGCACGTAGCTTAGGCAGGTGTGTTCATGCAAAGTTTGTAGAGTATGGAGATTTATTTTGTTTTTTAAAGAAATACTGCTTTGTAGCAAAAAGAAAACCCAGGCTGAATGGGACAGAGTGGCAAAACATGTCTCAAGTATTAAGTCCTCTGAAACTTGAAAGAGATGCAAATACATAAGGAATATTTTAGGACTAAAGAATGTATTGTTTTTTTTATTCTCAATCTTTCAAAATTCTACTATATTAACTGTAAGAAGCCACAGCTGCAAGAAAATTGACTGACAAATGACTAATACAATGTTTGTTTTGTTCATGCAGGAGAATGAATTGGCACAAGCAACTAACTATGCAGATTTAGCTGTAAATTCTGATAGGTACAATCCAGCAGCTCTAACTAACAAAGGAAATACTGTTTTTGCAAATGGAGACTATGAAAAAGCAGCTGAGTTTTATAAGGAAGCTCTCAGGAATGATTCCTCATGCACTGAAGCACTTTATAATCTTGGTAAGCTAAAGGTGCTTTTGTGGTTTGGCTTTTGTCTAAAGGTAATGCTAGTGTTTCTGAGAATGTGGCTTTCAAAGTTTTATTGTATAGAAACACATACCCATTACTTTATTCAGTAATTTATGTTATAGCAAGGTATTAATTTGTACTTCCTATCTGTTCTGCAAAAAATACTTGTGTTAACAACATCAACTAATAATTGCAGATAATTAAGTCACTTTGATGATAAACATTTCTGCTATCTACTAAAAATACACCAGTTTTAGCGTTATTAAAGCATCAGAGTCATTCCCCTCTAAAAGCCCTCCCTTTCCCTCATTCATCTTGTTCAAAAAGTGAGATTACATATGTTCTTGGGTTTTTAATTAGGTTTGCGTTCCTTGTGTTTATCAGTTTGGTAAATTATATTAGCTGGTAAGAATTATAATCATGGCTCTCAAGAATAGAGTCCATCAATGTCAAGGCAGTTACACTGGCTCTGAGTACCATGTTCCTATTTTATTTTTCTTGGTTATTATTAATTGTCAGTTAATATGCTGAAGTCACCTTTTGCTCATTGCATTAATAACGTAACCTTTATTTTTTAGGTTTAGCATACAAGAAGTTAAACAGAATAGATAAAGCTTTGGACTGTTTTCTGAAACTCCATGCAATCCTTGGAAATAGTGCCCAAGTCCTTCACCAGATAGCAAACATGTATCTTTTTCTGAATTATGATAAGGGATGGTGGTTTTAGTAAACTCATTTAACATGAAATATACTTCAGTCATGACATGACAACTTAGAAATTTACTGTAGTGTTCACTGAAGATGATCATACATAGATTCATTCTCTGATGTTTGTAAAAACAAGAACAGAACTTACAACCTCCTTGGACATTTCCAGTGAAGCAAGTGAAGAAATGTATTAAGAATGTTCACATTGCAGGGAATACTTTTTCACTCAGTATTTAAGTGTGTCCTAGAATATTTAAAATGGTGCTGATTTTATTATGAAAATAATGTGGCAGATGTAAGCACGATTGAGTAAAACCTTTAAGAAAAAAATAATATAGTTAATGAAAGTGCATTTCTGTTCTGAAAGCTGTTTTCAGATTAGTTAGTGTATGTGTAAGAACGTAATTGTCTCCCAACACTTCAAAAGCTCAACGGATTGAAAGCTGAGGAGGGGAAGGTTTAGCTTTGCACATCAGCAGTGATATTCTACACTGAATTTATTTAACAATACTTCTGAGGATGTGCAAACTGTAATAAAATCCTCCCCAAAGCAGAATAGATTCCAGTTCCTGTATTATACTTTTAAGAGCAGTGAAGATAATAAAAATATATTTTAGTCAATAAAATAAGTAACCTCCAAAAATACAAAAGGGCTGTGATGTCTGTTCCTTGCATAATCCCTTTACACCAGCATAAATGGCCCTACAACTTCCAGTTCCCATTTTGGGGAGGATTTCTGTGCTCCACTGCTGTGTAAAACTGCTTTCCACCAACGCTCACAAGCTTTTTCCATGAAGGGTGAGGTGCAGTGGAAACCTAAAAAACCGTGTTGGGCAGTAGCTCCAGCTCACACTGCTGCAGAGGTCTGAGGCATTTTGCAGCTCAGGGGTGACTGAGGAGGGGAGAGCACGCTGCGGGCCTAATTACAGCTAAAGCTGCCCCTGTTCTCTGGACCAGAACCGAACACTATCTGTGCTGTGCTTCTTACACATAGAGCAGGAAGCCTCACTGCAGGCAAAAGTCTGTTCTTGAGGACAGCAGTTTTACCTAATCACTCCCTTTAGGACAAAATGATGTATTATGAAAAACTAACCAAGTTGTAAAGGCTACAAATAATGTACAAATATGTAAAAAATCCCAGGGTATCTCCACACTACAGTGACTGGCATATCTGTCCAGCGTATGTGCTACATTATGTAAAGTAGGAGAGGTTCTGAGTAAATCAAAATACCATAGTCATCAGTCCTTGACTGAAGAAAATTCAGATATGAGATCGTGGAAGATCCCAATCAAGCCATAGAGTGGCTCCTGCAGCTGATCAGCATAGTACCAACTGATCCACATGTACTTTCAAAGCTAGGGAAGTTATATGATAATGAGGGTGATAAATCTCAAGCTTTTCATTATTACTGTGAGGTACTTGATCTTTATTGCTTTTCCAATGTACTTTCTCATAATTAAAGAAAATTTTGCCATATGTTCCTATATCAAATTAACAATTGATTTATTTAAACTTTTTAAAATGTTATTAAAAAAAAAAGTTTTTGGGGGAGAGAGAGTTGACAAAATCTAATTTTTGTAGTCAGATCCTAGGAAAAGGCATAACCTGTGTTTCCACGTGGTATTTGACCTCAGACTTTCATTTTTCATATGGTCGTTATTTACGTTAACCCCTAATACTTTTAATTTAAAATATAGTCTGAGACAAAATAAAAAAATAATATAATAAATGTAATCTTAAAGGTGTCTGACATGACTGTTGATTGGAAGCTATATCTGTATAATGAATATGGGGATATATGTATAATGTGTTTGTGTTTATATATGTAAGTTTATATATTTATTCTAATGGTACAACTACGTATTATGTATTCACAATTGCCTAAAGATAGGCATCCTCTCTCATTTCAAACAAGCTGTGGTACTGGCTGTAGTTTGTAGAGATTCTTCTGGTTTAGGAACAGGAATAAGACAGGAAGTTGCTTTGCTGCAATCTGAGAGGTTTTTTAATCTGCATAAAGCGAGGATGACCAAAGTCTGTGTTGCAATCTGAATACTAGTGGAGTTGTGTTTGGTGATAATTTTGCTGCCTATATCAGTGGAATTTTCTAAAAAGCTGAAAGTATTATTTACATGCATATGTATTTCATAGAAAAGAATGCTTTTAGGTGAGTTTTCCAGCAAACTGATTTGAGTGTGGAATTGTACGCCTATTAGTTATCACTGTTTAACATTTTAGGTAACTTATTCACATGTAGACATGATCTAAGTAAACATTTTTGCTGTTGCAAACTATTTAAAATAATATTTCAAATAAATCTAGGTAGAAAACGTGACAGACATCTTAGGTAACTTCTAAAAAGCATTCTGTAATTAGAAAACTTGGCATGCCTTTTTTTTCCCCCCCAGGATTACTTAGTGTAGCATACTACTCCCATTCATATATTACATGTTTTTGGCATCTGGAGATTTAAACACTTGAGTCAGATATTCCAGAAGTAACATAGAGATGTTGCTTATCACTAAAATTTTGTTTCTTTCTCCTTTCCTATTTTGTCAGTCATACCGGTATTTCCCTTCAAACATTGAGGTCATTGAATGGCTTGGAGCCTATTACATTGACACCCAGTTTTGTGAAAAAGCCATTGAGTACTTTGAAAGAGCAGCACTTATCCTGTAAGTAATTATTATTTTATGCCTACTCACATATTTTGTGATTAGACATCCATAAGTATACCTAGAGATAAATCAGTTAAGATAACTTTAATATTATAAGCAAATACCAGAGTTAAGAATATTTGGGATATTATTTAATTTTCTCGACTTCCAGTTTATTTACAGTGTGGTTTTGTTGTTACTGTGCAATTTCAATGTTAAGTAAGATCCACCGTTGGGCCCAAGATAGTACTAGCTGTTAGAATCTCTTTTCTCTATCCCCTGCCATTAAACACAGCTATGAAGTGGAGAACAACTTTCTTAAGCCACCAAGACCTCCTTCTCTATGGCTTTATGTGGAATTTTTCCTTTCTGTTATTTTCTCAAGTGGTGAGGATTTGATGCTTTAGATAAATGTATCTTGTAGCAGTTCTTGCTGCGTTTCTCCTTTCACATAACTTCTACGCCCATTAAAAGGATATTACAAATAAGGTATGGAAGTAAGCAAAAAATGTGCAGTGCAGAATTACAGATGATCAGTGAAAATAAGTGGATGGATCAAATTGATCCTGATAGAGATACCTGAAATATATTGAGTTTAGTTCAGCAGCTTAGTTGCTGAAATTGTCCTTTAGCAGAATATGTTGCACTTAAGAAAGTATATAGGCCATATATTTTGTTTTAGATCAGAAAGGGAGCTTACCAGACAAATAGTTAATAAATAAAAATTTGGTGAAATTTAAATCTGTAATCCACAGTTCAAACAGAATTCTAAAAAGACATACATATGGTCTTTTTTATGTGGAAACAAATATTTGTCTGTATGCTCATGAAGAATTTTGTGTTAATAGACCAACTGAAATTCATAGAACTAAAACTCACTCCAAGGGTGAATTTCTGTGTTTTGGGAAACCTGCCAAAAATCAGACTAAGCAAAACTTTTTTATTACTTATCTTGTGATGAACTAAAATTTGGCATTCTTTTTGCTCTGTGAATCTGAATGATACGCATGAACAGGACAACAAGTGAACAAAAATGTGTACAGTATTATTCAAGGAAAAATTAAACTGCGAACAGGTTGTTAGAAGTTCAGTTTAAAAATACCAGTTCTGGTATTCAAAGGGCTTGAGTTAAAGTAGATATTAATTATAGAGGAGAAAATCCAAGGTTTAAAGGTTTAAATAGGGATTAAAAATTGAAACAAAAATAAATAAAAAATCTTGGACTTCACCCAAATTGTGGTATAATTGTAAAAAAATAGAGATGTAGATTAGATGAAAATACACAGGAGAGGGTTCACAGAAATCACGGTTCCCATGTTTGCCAGTATTCTTTTCAGTATAAATACTGGCCACCTTAAAAAACTGTATTTTAGTCAAGCTATGAGATTATGCATGCTGGCATTCACAGCTGCCTTAGAAACTTTGGAAAGAAACAGCTAAAACTAAAAATAAGTATTTAATTGTTTTGGCAGAGATCTAAATATTTTATGCTTCATGTTGTACTCAATCTATGCATGAAACATGAAGTATGTGGATTGTAAAGGATGCACAAGTAATTGGCATATGAAATTCTTACTTGAAATTGTAATCTATCTGTGATACAGAGAAATTAGTTCTTTGTGGGATTGTTAATGGTAGATAATAGAAATAGAAATGAATAGAATAGATGTTTTGGTGTTCATTTGGAATTAAAAATAGAGTAGAGATATGCTAGTTGATAAATACAAACGTTGGGTTATAAATTGCTACTAATTGTAAATAAATTTACTTTTAAAAATTATAACTATTTTAACCATGACCAGCAATTTTTAGTTTAACATTGTCTAGTATCTTTAGTGTTTTAATCACAGAGATTACATTTTAAATTGCATTCTAAGATAACATGCTAGGCAATGAATTGAGAAACAGTTTTAAATTATTTTACATTTTACCAGCATGCACAAATTTATCATTGATAAAAGGAGTTGTGCAGGTAATGCTGGCTGCTGACAATTTGTTGTCTCTAGAATTTTCATACTGGACTGTGTAATACCCTTTATTATGGTGTCTGCTTGGCTGCCTTTATTGTTTGCAGGAGACATATTCAGCTGAAACTAAGAAAGGTGAAGCAGCTGCCTTTTATAAGCTTGTTTGGCACCTACCAGGCAAACAGATTATTTACAGTTAAAATGGCCTGTGCTGTGACTGGAGGGAAAAATTGAGGTGAATAAGTACAAAGCTATTCTGAAAACATTAGCACCCAGTGCCTTTGGGATACGCTACTGTTGAATCGTAAGCCACATGTGAAAAGTGCTTTGGCTTATTGAGCCATCCTTACACTGACATGAAAATTTCATAATTTTCACATTATCTTGATAAGAATGAAGAAGGACTAACAGTTTTGTTGTACACGTTCAAACATCTCAAATATTTTCTCTGACCATATCTATCACCATTTTGTGCCAAAAAGAGAAGGACAGGTAGCAGCTGGGGCATTGAGGTGATGACAGAGAGGAGAAGCCAGAGTTCAAAGCTGTAAGTGAGGAGTGTGCTTCCTGGCAGGGATCCCATGCGTGTGCCTGGGATCCTACTGGTGGAACTTGCTCAGAATATGGTGTAGCATTTTGTTCTCCCCAGTTACCTGGTTCTGTACCTCAAAGATCAGTGATTCACATGTCAGGTCTACCAGTTGGGTCTGGTGCACAGCATCATGAGCAGGAGAAAAACTGTAGCAGAGGACTACAAATGAGTGACATCAATGCCTGAATATAGGAGCACGATGCAGGGGTAAACTGTCTGTGAACTGAGCAGGCTAAATTCTTCCTAGGAAGGCAATATGCTAGTACTTTAATAGTAGGTCTTCACCAGTGCTATGCAGATAGTTTTGCTTATTCATTGTTTGGCAGTGTGTGTAACTATTTTATTTTATTTATATGCAGACCAACTGAGGTGAAGTGGCAGCTGATGGTTGCCAGTTGCTACAGGAGAAGTGGTAAGTTCTGTAACTTTTTTGTAATTTGTTGGAGGTTTGTAATATTTTTTTGTAATTAGTTTGGGTTTTTCAGTCTGGAGAAGAGAAGTTTGGAGAATATATGAAGGAGTTCATAAGAAAGATGGAGAGAGACTTTTTACCAGGGCCTGTTAGTGACAGGACAATGGGCAAGAGTTTTAAACTGAAAGAGAGTAGACTTAGATTGGACATAAGAAAGACATTTTTTATGATGAGAGTGGTGAGACACTGAAAGAGGTTACCCAGAGAAGCTGTGGATGCCCTGTCACTGGAGGTGTTCAAGGCCAGGTTGGACAGGGCTTTGAGCAGCCTGATCCAGTGAGAGATGTCTCTGCCTATGGCAGCGGGTTGGACCAGGTGACACTCAAAATTCCCTTCCAACCCAAACCATTCTATGACTCTGATTTTTTTTGTTTTGATTGATGTTTTGTTTTTTTTTCCTTTTGATCTTTTCTGCTTGGTGTGAATACTGGTCCTAAAGTTTATTTGAAAATTCAGTTGCATATTATTTTGTTATGAATTTCCTGTGTATGTGTAATAAAACATGACCTTTGTTTTAAGTGCAGGAAGTGTGCCTGCACTGCCTTATGTATGAAACACTCATTGTGCTGTTAAATAAGTAAAGCAAAGAAGAAAGTACTGCATGAATGATCTGATAGAAGCTTTTAAGTGTAATTATATTACCATTTGATCTAACATAAGTAATTAGATTTTAAAGTTACTTAATTCCCATTCCTTTTCAACAGTGGGTATGATTTTTAAATATTTAAATAGTAATTATATTAATAGTATTTTATTTTAATATAAAATTGATAAATATTAAACATATTTAAATACTATTTATTTTAATATAAAAAATTATACCCACTGTTGAAAAGGAGTGGGAAATGCATTACACAAACAAAAGACATTCTTAATGTGCTGTATTTTCATACTGGGAGTGTAATAGGCCAATAAACAAAATGGAAAGGGACTAATCTTTCTGGACTTTTTAATCACCTAAAATCCATTCAAGACACTTGATGATGTAAATAATACTCTTCTTTCTTGCTATCCCATTTTGTCACTCTCCATTATGCTTCTTTAGAACTTTGCAGAACAGACTTCCATAGAAATACATGCATTTTCTCACTCTGCTCAGTTATTTAAAACAGCAGTGAGAAAACGAGCAGGACCTGGAGAAGTCAGTGCATTAAGAACAGTCAGTGCCACCCAAAACTAGACAGGTTAGCTGTTTTCCAAGCAAAGAAACACATGGTTTTGGCCAATTTTTAGATAATTTATGATTCATTGGCAAAATTCCCAGCTTATGGTCCCTTCCAATCCAAACCATTCTATGATTCTGTGATTCTATGATCATCAGCAAACTTGCTGAGGGTGGACTCTTATTTAAAGAATGTTAAGTTTGGTTTTATCAAATTTTGTCTCATAATATTAAATCATGTACTCAAACTAAAAAAATGAAGTGATGTTAAACTATATCGATTTCTCATCAGATATTCTTTTTTATGTTTGTATATGTGTCTAGGAGATGTTTGTTTTCTTTGCAGGTAACTACCAGAAAGCTCTAGAGAAATACAAAGTAATTCACAGAAAATTCCCAGAGAATATTGAATGTAAGTTGTTTCATTGCGTGGTGCAACTGTCAAAGGAAACTTTGTTACATTGAATATGTGTGTTAGTAGTTGCATAATGTAAGTATTTTTCGTATGAAAATATTTTAATGAACTAACATTTTTATTCATGCTAATGCTGCTTGTTTTCTGTGATGACACTTAAGTGTGATTTAAGAAATATTAGGGTAATGCTGAAGAAGAGAGATGAAAATAAACTTTAACTGTAGCGCATTGTTTGAGTTTTTTCTTATACATACTTTCTAAATTCTGTAACTATGTTACTTATTTAATCTTTCTTATAATAAAATATATGTATTTTTACTTCTAGTCGCTGCTAGTTGAAACTCCTGCTATAAGTTTGAGATATGAGAATCTTAAGTTTTACCAAAGCCAGGCTTTCCAAAAGAATGTAGAGGATGAAATTTTGTTGTTGTATTTTTAAGTATAGTTGGTCAACCAGTTGCTAGAAAATCCATAGAGAATTTCAAACTAAACTACAGGAAATGTAACTTTGAGGAATAAGACATTTTGCAGAATCGGTCACACCTGTACTCTAAATGGAAAAGCCCTGCAGAAAACAGGGGTTGTCACCAGGTGTGAAAATATCCTCTTTCATCCCACACTGCGCCTCACTAATTCCAAAATATGAGGTTGTCTTCAGCAAGCCTACTCTTTTAAATGCTGTGTGGGAAGAACATTCACTGTATTTTAAAATAAAATCATATTGTTCTGCTTTAACCAATGTACTGCTTTTTTAAAGAGGAATCTTACAGTTCTGTACAAGAGAAAATCAATACTATGACTCCTCAAAGTTATAAGCAAAATGTCATGTTCATATTGGTCACACATATTTCAGAGAGGTAGAGTGTTTAGTAAACCTTCTAGAAAACAAACACTTTTCTGAATGTAATTTGTACAAATTAAGAAATGGAGGCAGGAGTTAGACAACACAATTTAACTGCTTTAAAAGTTTTCTGCTGCTGAAACAATGGTTCTTCACTCATCCCTCCCTGGCCATGTGCTCCAGCCATGTTCCTTATGCTTGTTCTGATGCTCATCTGATCCCTCAGTGAACAGGTTCAGCTCCCTAAATCACCAGAAAACTAATTTAGCACCGAAAGAAAGTAACACATCTGTGAAAGCAGGCAGGAGGGTAATGATCCTGTTGTGCTTGTTTCTGCTTCAGAGGCAGTTATTTCAAAGGGATGTTGACAAAGACATAGGAATAGCAACAACATACTCAGAATTTGGTATAGTGTCTCAGGAGACTGTTCTTAAAGGTTCTTTTGGTTCCATCATACAGTTAGAGTTCTTAGAGATCTTCATGTCTGGTTTGTTGGGGTTTTTTTTAATTCTATAAATACTAATCTGTAAAAAAAACAACAATAGCAACAGAAAAAACAAACCATTCTGATTTACTTGGCATTTGTAAAATTGTTTTCAACAAAATTATATATTATAATATTATTATATTTCATTAAGGCAGAGAAAAACTTAATGAAATATAATA